TTTAAAAGCCAGGCGACAAGTGGCAGACGTCATAGTCCACAGTTGCATGAAATGGATTGTTACATACAGCACTGATGTTACCTGTCTGTCATGGGTTTGGAGGGAAAGTTCCATCCTATGGGGAGTGGAAGGCGGGACATCAGGGGGAGGAGCTGTACTGTATAAATATCTGGAGCTGATGTGGAGAAGTTAGAAGGAGGAGTGGGAGTCTGTGTGTCAGACTGAGTACAACTGTGTGTCAGTTGGTACATACCTGATAGGTTCAGGTTTCTTTATAGGTAGCCAGAACTGATAGGTTCAGGGTCTGTGCTTTACTTTAAAGTGTTCTGTGTGAACCAAACTGCTGTATGTATGATTGAGACTAAGCCACGTTACAGTATCTTATTTACTTGATCTTTTTATTTACCCTGTTTGTTATTTAAATAAACCTTGTTCTTTTGTTTGTTAAAAATCCATTCCTGGTCTGTGTGACTTCTTATAGGGAATGGTTGGTGGCAGCTTAATTAAAGTGTGGTATACTCCAGTAGGTCTGGGGTTGTCACATGGATCTTTAATGACGAATGAGGAAGTTAGTGGGGAATGTTTGAAGTTAGGGGAAGAAACTGCAGTAGAGGCACCAGTGCTGATGTGTAGACCTGGAAGGTCAGTTCTAGTCACCTAACTCCAGTGCTGGTGGCTTTCAGATTTTCCATCCCTTCGTGCCAAAATTTCATAATAGCCATAACTCAAGAGCATTTAAAAAAAAACGTTCCAGCATAGGCTGGCTTTTGGGGTGCTGCTTCGAGGTGGATCATTGTTCCACTTACAATAGATTCCATTCCTGCACGAGTGGGAGTCCAGCACTGGTTTTGTTCCATGGCTATCCATGGAATCCCCTGGACTGCAAGGACAGCAAACCTATCCATTCTGAACGAAATCACCCCTGCGTGTTCACTGGAAGGACAGATCCTGAAGCTGAGGCTCCAATCCTTTGGCCATCTAATGAGAAGAAAAGACTCCCTGGAAAAGACCCTGATGTTGGGAAAGTGTAATGGCAAGAGGAGAAGGGGACGACCGAGGATGAGATAGTTGGACAGTGTCTGCGAAGCAACCAACATGAATTTGACACAACTCCGGGAGGCAGTGGGAGATAGGAGGGCCTGGTGTGCTCTGGTCCATGGGGTCACGAAGAGTCGGACACGACTAAACGACTAAACGATGATACGTATGAAGATCAGTTGCGCCCAATGGTGTTTAAGAGTGCAGTCCTAACTGGCCAAGAAGACTTAAGAGTTAAATGAACTGATACCAACTGATGTGAGGCTAAACCCCTAGCCTTCTAGGCCTACAGATGTTGGACATTACCT